CGAACACTCAGATTCTTGACTTCGAGAAGGGTCCTCCTGGGATTTAGTGGTAGATTAAGTGGTAACTCTTAATTATATCATTAGAAACCCCTGTTTTGAATTGGTTTCTAAATCCACTGCTATCACTCCCCCCCATAGCGATAATTTTCGCGGTTTTTGATGTCATCTCCCGCATTCCGACCTCATGCGGTCTGTCGACGCTCACGGCGGAACCCTCAGTATTCAGTCTACTAGTAGTTTGGTCGTACCTCCCTTCCCCACTGCTCGGCTGAGCTCGAAGCGTGCTGTGGCCGATCGCATTTGGGTTCCTCTCGTCTGGCTTCTTTGACGCGGCGTACCAATCCGGCCCAGACGATCTCAATTGTGAATCCCGTATACAATGCCATTTGCAAGCCAGTCCTGTCTGACCCACATTCGTACCCATCAAGGCTGACATTTATTGCTACCCTGACGATGACCGACAACATTCCGTTATATACCGCCACCTACAGGCCAGTCCTGCTCGTTTTCTTCTGTTATTATTTTTATGGAGGGGTTTTTTTCTCCTGTAAAATCAATCCAATCATTTTTAACTTTTTGTAAGGGATTTTTTTTCACCCCTCAATCATCATGTTTCTCAATGGACTTCTAATTCAGAAACTATGAATTGCATTTTGTAAAGATTCGGCCTACCTCGTCTAAAACTCGCATGTAAATTTATTTTAACTTGCTTTGATGGGACCCCGACGGGTCTTTAATAAAAATTATCTATCTATCTATGAATCCTATTAACTGAAGAAACCAAACGTCCACAACGATGGCCTTAAATTGATGTAATCCTAGTAAATGAATATTTTTTGATTGGCTATCGATATAAAATGTGCTTCGATGTGGTAATTCAGCTATGAATGCTGCCAGAAAATGTGACCGCGAGTAGCAGACCGCGATGTGAGCCGTCCGTGTGTGCATCTCCGCACACGCTAACTCGGCTCCAATGGCCGGATAGACCACCGCCTCGGCATCTGCGAGACGAAAATCCGTCTAACACCGCAGGAGGCCACAAGGTAAGTGAGTCCCCAGGTAAGCGAATATTGCTCTGCTGGATTGCTTTCTGTCTGCTTGTTTGTGTTTATCCTAATGTAAAACTAAATATCGTTCTGTTGAATCTGCTCTGTTGCCTTTGTTTTTTTCTGTTCTTGTCCGCTTGCATTTTAACCGCTTGTTTGTGTCCGTGCTTATTGTAGGTTAAATGACGCTCTGTTGAATTTGTCCGCTGGCCGTTTACATTTCGGCGACCATTTAGTTTAGAAATGGACGGAAAAACTCTGCTTTCCGTCTCTCTACCCTTCTCCTACTCCCCTTCAAGTCCTACGCCGATGTCGTAGGCAGGCCCAAAATAACTCGGGTTGTTCTCCCACTAAATAAAATTTTTAGCCCATAGTGGGCTTCGACAGCCGTCTGGGACAACTGAGCAGCCCTACTTAGGGAGAACACTGTTCACTCCCGTAAGAGGGAGGGGACTAGAAAAGGGGCTATAAATAAATGTTGGGGACCCACGCCGTCTGCAGGCTGACCGTGGCCTCAGACGCAAAACTCACAGTCCAAACAACCAAACCAGATACATTACTCTCTTTCCCCCCACCACTCCCCCTCTACGCCGGCCTACTTACCAGACTAGTAGGGTGAGTCTGCTCACACTAGCAGCCTGGAATACTCGTTTCTTTTTAGACAATCCGAGTAACAACCGACCGGAACGGAGGATGGCGCTAGTGGCACGGAAGCTGGCGCGCTACAAGGTGGACAACGCTTCACTCAGCGAGACACGCTTCCCCGAACAATGCCAACTGAGGGGAGGTTGGTGTCAACTACACCATCCACTGGGGCGGTCGCCAGTTGGCCAACCTTCCGGTCGCCGTGGCCGCTGACGTGACCGCCTCCGTGGAGAACCGATGGTTTCAACTGCGGGACACCGTCCAGTTGACGGCGTTAATGACATTTAACGTCCTGTATTTATGTGCTAAATTTTAGTTCATTTACATTTCCCGCTAACCTTTTCACGATATTGTGCTACCTATATTTTGCTTATTATGTCTTCCTCAACTCAACAACCTGACGTTCCTGCCGAGTCTGTTCATGCCGTCCATTTCGCTTTGCCTGATTTCTGGCAACACGCCCCTGAACTTTATTTTATCCGCATTGAGTCCGCCTTTTACTCCGCCAACATTACGAAGGAGTTGTCGAAATACCACAAACTTGTGGAGGTTCTGCCTGCCAATATTAACTCACAAGTTCAACCCTTGTTAGTGAAACCCCCTGCAGACGCTCCCTATTCTGCTCTGAAGGCGGAAATCCTTCGTCTCAATGCTGTATCTGACCGACAACGCTACCACCAGTTGATAAAGGAGGAATCACTGGGCGACCGAAAGCCCTCAGAACTTCTCCGACGAATGCGTACTCTCTTAGGAGACATGCAGGTCGACGAGAAACTCGTTAAAGAGATGTTTCTAGAGCGGTTGCCTGCAGATGTCCAAACGATTTTGGCATCCGGCTCGCAAGACCTTACACTCTCACATCTTGCTAAAATGGCAGACCGAATGATAGAGGTTCAACGGTTCCAGCCACCTTCCGTTGCTCAGATTTTCACATCCTCTTCAACGGTTAACGAGCAGTTACTGCAACAGATGTCGACTATGGCGAATGAGATAGCCTCCCTAAAACTACAGCTTGCTCCCATTACCTGTAGTCACTCACCCAGCCGTCATCGTTCACGTTAGCGACCTCGCACAGCCAATGTGTGTTGGTATCACCCAAACTTTGCCGCCAAGGCTCGCAAATGTTCTTCCACTTGTTCATTTAAACCGAAACAAGGAAACCAGCCAGCCAGGGAATAGACGCGACCGTTTTCTCTGGCTCTCCCAGCTCTGGTCGCACCTTTTATGTCTGCGACAATGTGACTCGCAGGCGTTTCCTGGTGGACACCGGAGCCCAGATCAGCGTGGTTCCCCCCACTCCAGTTGACCGCCGCTGTCCCAGCCCTGGTCTACATCTCCAAGCTACAAACTGTTCCCCTATTTCCACTTTTGGTAGTAGTTCCCTAACGCTAAACATTGGTTTACGTCGATCATTCTCCTGGATATTTGTGATTGCCGACGTGCCTTATGCGATCCTTGGTTCCGACTTCCTAGCCGAGTTTGATCTCCTTATTGACTGTCGGCGTTCCTGTCTCCTCGACCGCACAACTGGTCTTTCTGTCCGCGGTCTTACACCCTTTAATGACTCCTGCAATTTATCTGTTCTGGACACATGTATTGCTTGCCCATACCGAGACCTGCTCCTCCAACACCCCAAAATAATCAAACCCCAGTTTCGCAGTGGTGAGATCCAGCATGACGTTGTCCACCACATTCGCACCTCTGGGCCCCCCGTATTCGCACGGCCTAGACGACTGGCTCCGTCCCGTCTGCAAGCGGCGAAGGCCGAATTTGAGCACATGCTGCAACTGGGCATAATTCGGCCGTTCGAGAGTTCATGGGCGTCCCCTCTGCTTATGTTGCCCAAGGCGACATCAGACGACTGGAGGCCCTGTGGTGACTATCACGCCCTCAACAATGCGACCATCCCGGATCGTTATCCCGTCTCTCATCTTCAAGATTTTGCTGGAGCTCTTTTCGGCAAATCGGTTTTCTCGAAGATTGGCCTTGTTCGGGCCTTCCATCAGATTCCTGTCGCTCCCGAGGATGTTCCCAAAACTGCCGTCACCACACCATTCGGCCTGTTCGAATTTATTCGCATGCCATTTGGTCTTCGCAATGCTGCCCAAGCATTTCAGAGGTTCATTGACCGAGTCCTAGTGGTCTCTAGTTTGTGTACGCCTACATCGATGACCTCTTGGTGGCCAGCCGAAATGCTGAGAAACACAAAGAGCATCTTGCCTTAGTGTTTGACCGCCTCGATCAGTTTGGCGTGGTCACTAACCCTTCGAAGTGTGTTCTGGGTGTGCCGTCCCTTCATTTTCTTGGTCACCATGTCGATGCACAAGGTTTGCGTCCCCTCTCTTCCAAGGTTGAGGCCATTCGTGACTTTCCTTCACCAACCTCCAAGCGTCAGTTGCAACGTTTCCTTGGCATGGTAAACTTTTATCGCCGGTTCCTACCGAACTGTGCCGACCTTATGCTGCCACTCACCAACTTGCTCTCTGGTCCCAAGGGTCCCCTTGAGTTACGTGGCCACGCGCTGACTGCTTTTGAGAGAATAAAGACCTCCCTTGCTGATGCTACCTTGCTCGCTCATCCTGCTCCAGAAGCCCTATTGTCCCTGATGGTTGATGCTTCGACCGTTGCCGTAGGAGCAGTCCTCCAACAGCATATCAACGACTCGACACGACCGTTGGCATTCTTCTCCAAGAAGCTTTCACCTGCCGAGACGAGATATAGCACGTTGGTCCGTGAACTGCTTGCCATTTACCTAGCCGTAAAACATTTCCGACACTTCCTTGAGGGTCGTGACTTCACAATTTTCACAGACCACAAACCACTTACATTTGCCACCCGATCCCATTCTGACAAATATAATCCGAGAGAGATTTCTCATTTGGATTACATCTCGCAATTCACTACCGACATCCGCCACATTGATGGCCCGAAGAATGCGGTGGCCGACATGCTGTCCAGACCTTCCCTCTCGGCGTTTCACCTCTCACACGGGATTGATCTTGGTGCTATGGCGGCTGAACAACGACGTGTTGGATGCCCTGGCGACGAGTCTGTTGACAGTCTTCAATTAGTTGACGTCCCATTGACCACCGGCACTGGCACAATCCTTTGTGACGTATCGACTCCTTTTCATCGCCCTTATGTGCCTGCCTCGATGCGTTTAGCTGTTTTTCAAACTCTCCACGGACTCTCCCATCCTGGGATTCGAGCCTCACAGAAGCTCCCCGCGGAAATGTTCGTATGGCCTGGGTTGAACAAGGATGTGAAAGCTTGGACACGATCGTGCCTTTGCTGTCAACGTAACAAGGTTCAACGCCACAACAAGTCTCCATCGGGCACGTTCCCCAGTCCCGATGCACGGTTCAACCATGTGCATTTAAATGTCGTAGGTCCTTTACCTCTATCCAATGGCTATACTCACCTTCTCACCTGCGTTGATCGCTATACCCGTTGGCCGGAAGCCATTCCTTTACCGAATGTGCAAGCTGAGACCATTTTGAAAGCCTTCGTCAGTCGTTGGGTCGCCATATTCGGTGCGCCATCCATGATTACGACTGATCGAGGCGCGCAGTTTGAGTCCACACTTTTCCAAACTCTCCTCAACTTCCTTGGCTGCACACGTATTCGGCCGACGGCCTTCCACCCAGCTGCCAACGGCATGGTTGAGCGTTTCCACCGCCAGCTAAAAACTGCACTACGTGCCGCAGAAGATCCCGAAAACTGATCAGACAATGTGCCCGTTGCACTTCTTGGCATTCGTGCGGCACTGAAGTCAGACTTAGACTGCAGCGCAGCCGAATTGGTTTTCGGCACTACCCTCCGACTCCCTGGTGAGATGGTCACCCCAACCTTTCGTGGTGCCGAAGAGACCCCCGAAAATTTTGTGCATCATCTGCGAAAATTCATGTGCTCGCTTTCCCCGGTTCCACCTCGAGCTCCATCGACCGAGCCTTATGTTGAAAAAGGCTTAGCCAACTGCACCCATGTGTTCGTTCGGTGTGATCGTGTGCGGAAGCCGTTAGAATCACCACACGAAGGACCGTTCCGTGGACTTTCACGTAACGGCAAGACCTTTCGTATCCTGCGAGGGGACAAAGAGGACGTAGTCAGCATCAACCGGGTCAAGGCTGCTGTTGCAGAGGAGCCCCCGGACGTGTCTCAAGGACAAGCATGTGCTGACCCCATACCTCCTCCCACTCCTTTTCCACTTTCCCCACCTATCCCTCCGTCCCGTATTCTTCCTTCTCCAGTAGCTCCCAGTCCAAGCAAAATACGAATTAAACATTCCCACCAATGCACATTCGAACCTCAAAGAATACAGATTCTCGCCGGAAGAGATTGGACCGATAAGTAAAAAACGCCATGAGCTGGTAGCTACGAAGGTTTCCACTGCATGCAATCTGGTTTCCCAAAGCTCTCTTCTCAAAATTGGTTTCTCAGCAATTCAATTCAATTCAATTATTTTTATTAAAGACCCGTCGGGGTCCCATCAAAGCGAAATTCATTCCTTCCCCCGTCAATCTAAGGACAGTAAACCTCAAAGACACGTGGAGGCAGATTTGGCATAATTTGGCCTATAGACTGGCACGATGCTTTTGTCCCTATGTAGACGCATGATTTCTTTAGGCATAAAATGGAGCTGTAATCGACCACAATCACCGCAAATGCAAGCGCCCATGCTCTCTCGCATCATGCTCACTCACATTCTGTCATCGACACTCGCGGACATGCCGACTTTTCACTTCAACCTACCACCTTGACGGACTCCAGGCTGGACACTCAGTCGCCTCTAACGCCGACAAAAAAAACTTAAAAGTTGCCAGCGGTAACTAATGTGTAGCGGTGATCCGATGTTCCGTCCGAAGCATACCCAAGAGACTAACGTCTTTCCACATCCTTCTATAATACTGGACTTTACACTGATTGTCAAGGTTAAATTAAATCCGTAACTTTATATGTTGACAAGCCTAGGATCCGACATGTTGGAAAGTAACTCTTTGATGCGACTGAAACATGCTGTCATGTATTTCCTTCTCTGCACATTATATATAAAATTCCCCTATGCTAGTCAGCGTGTATTTGAATAGAAAATTGTAGTCTGTGCAATGTCCTTTGGCCCCCGATGCTTATCCTCCAATGGTCGTTCTAGTGTTTGTTTTCTGTTCCGAACAGGGTGCCGTATCAAATTATCATTTCGGTATTTTATGCCGAGTCAAGTCCCGAGCAGTCATTGGCAAGCAATTAGTATATAATCTGATGATTCGCAAAGTTTTTAGTTAGTGCTCCAGACTCCATTGCGCCTACCGATAAACTTGCTTACTCTCGAACGCCGTGTCCGATAGGAAATCAAAATTAACGTCTCCATGGCAATTCCCTCTAAATGAGAACCACTTCAAATGCAGGGGCGAAAATTGGATTTCAGTATTTGTTGAGGTTTCCTGGACATGTAGACGAGCAATGACGTCGCGAAGCCAATCACGTGCATCGATTTACATACGAAAAAGAATACTGATCCGACCTACCGTTTGTTTTTCCCTTTGCAGACAACCATCTCCAACTTACAAGAAGTCTGCAATACGACTACCAACTGAAACGCCCCTTACACCTCACAGTATAGCGAAATACGTGCATCTCCCATTTTGGGGGGAAAATTTCGGAATGACGCAGCTGCGCAGACGTCCTTTCATTTTTCGATGCTAATTTAGTATATAAAAACGGCCCTGTACTATGCACGCAGGCAAATGCATGGTTCAGACAGCGCGCATGTGTTGGTTCGGATTGTTTATACCTTCCAGTCATCCAATCCACATGAAGGCACATTGCTCTCTCCACGCATGCACGTCAAAAATTTTGAAAGGGAGTACAGTAGCGGTCTTATTGAAGCACCTATTCCCATCCTTGGCACAGGCTCTGTACTTCGGAACTTTTCATGTTTTTGAGTATCATTTCAACAAAGCACTGCAGCGCCCGGTAATCTCTGGTTTGGGAGATGCGAGGTCACGGGATCCCTCTATACTTCGGCAGCACCAGTCTGGTGTTCTTATGTTGCTTCAAAAGATGTCGATTTCATAATTTAAGCCCACTTGATTAACATCACTCGGCAATCAAGATGGAGAATAAAAATACGTGAATCAGATGCGGGAACTTTCCTCGAACTGTTAAAAGGAGCACCTTTATGATAATTCAACTCGATGGTCTGGTTAAGAGGTTGATGTAATTTCTCCCTTGCCTGTAGGGTGACACCACAGAACATGCAACAAGCTCTGCTCACCTTCAGGTCCAACCTCGGATCTTTCCGTCCCTCACTTACAAAAACAAACTCAGTCCTAAGCATTCTGTTAAACTCTACCATGGTAGGGGCAAATGGCTTAATAACTGGTTTCTACAATTCCCGAGAGATGAGTCGGCTGTTAATGATAACTGATCCGGAAGTCATTGTGGTTTGACACAGTTAAAGAGGTAGCTTAGATTCGGTGCCTGATTCAGCAATTTTCAGTTTGGTTAGAGTTGATATCTGTGAGACTTCTGCCCTGAAACTTTTTCTTATCCAATCTTCTTTGAATCAACGTTTCTTGTCTGTAATCCTGCACGCAAAATTTTCGCCATTTTATAATGTTAACACTGCAATTTGGTCTTCGGATTTGCGGCGGAAAGAATGAACACTATACTAATTTAAAGGAAGACTACGTATATTAACTTGTTACACGTCCGGAGTCTAAGCGGGGGTTGACGTAGGTAAATGGATATACACGTTAGCTTGTTCGCATAGTGTGCATCATAAGCGTAACAGGCATAGTTGATTGTGCCTCCCATCTCTCCCCCCGTGTGGACCAAATGGGCATTGCGTTAAACCGATTCGGGAGTCATATCAGGGTCTGGGTGTTATGGGTATCTTACCCATAACAAATAACAGACTAGGGGGTTAGGAGCATACTGAAGCGCTGATGAACGCCGCACCTGCCGTCTGCACCCGATGCCACCTTCGATATTCTTGACAATATCTTGGTATTTGGTCCGGGCGAATGAGGAAGGAGCGAAGGTCTGCAATTAGCAAAAACTGAATCACGCGGAAGTCACTATTTCTTTTCCGGCCATTTTGTGGAGCACGCAATGGATGTCGTTGGCAAGGATGGTCGAAATGCCAGGTATGCTTTATTATAACAATCGTCACGCAAATATTTTTTGTCCTGTAAAAGAATACAGCCATTCTGTCGTATCAACTTATTTACATATCACCTGTTCTATGTTCTTCTGTGAGTGAGAATAGCGTAATTGACTGGCTCACCATTCGATTTAATAGGTTTTAGATGTATGCGTAACTCTAAGGTATATTCTAAATATGAGTGCAGGTTTGCGGGTATGACTTCAGTCTTTCTGTAAAATTCAGCTACGCTTTTCCACGTCACTTTTGTTAATCTTTTTTACTTCGAACAGTGCATAGCTTGGATACTAAAGACAATTGTGTCACCGCTCTTAGGGAGGAACGCAAAATGTGTGTACAATACACCCAGTATACACTAGTTATTTGGTAATGTTCACCGTTTATTGAACCTCTGCGCGGGTCTCTTCCTATAAGCAATATAGTGAGTCAAGTTTTTAGTTCCAATTTCTTTCAGTTGCACTCACCCGCGCATTGCAGTGCCATTATTATAGTTTTTTGGAGGACGGTCGTAAATAATTATCCTGATTTCAGAAGCCCATAGCCCACAAAGTCCTTGTAGAAATGCCTGTCGGATTTATTTTTTTTGGAAAAACACCGTCTTGGCGGAAAACGTTGAGACCTTCAAAAGAAGACTGGATAAATCTATGCTTGATGGTCAAACATTTAGACGATATAAATGTTTGGCATAACTGCTATGTGAATATCTGCATGTTTTTTTTTCATACGTCCATCTGTAAACAGCGTTTTCCAAGGCTCTGCGTATATTCCTCATATACACTGAGTAATACTGAAATTATCCCGAATTTTATCAGGAAAGATGACCATAGTGAGCATTTTAATTTGTTTGTATTTCTGGTGAGTGGCTCAGATTTAGCGCTGGAACGCATACTAAAAGTTTCAAAGGTCTTCCTGAGAGCGAATATGCATGACCTTTATGCAGTTTGGCCAATAGTAGTACACCCTGACCCACCGTTGTTTTAATTCGCCCGGCTGTGGTGATCGTTTCCCTTTCACTTCTACCCTTTGTCCTCGTTACGATGGTTCGCAGGAACTCGGAGAATAATGACAGCAGGACGGAGCAGTATAGGAAGCTCTTTATCGGCGGATTGACCCCCAATACAGATGAAGAAATGCTTAAGGAGTATTATTCGGCTTGGGGGGAGATTGTGGACGTTGTCGTTATGAAGGATTCTCACAGCGGAAGGTCTCGGGGGTTCGGCTTCGTCACGTACAAAGAACCGGAAATGGTTGATTCAGCCCAGGCCAACAGACCGCACGAAATAGACGGGAAGACAGTCGAGGCCAAGAGAGCCATGCCCCGGGAGGACTCCAGCAGCGCTGAAGCCCACATGACCGTCAAGAAGTTGTTTGTTGGTGGCTTGAAGAAGGACGTAACTACAGAAGATCTCAGAGAATACTTTTCGAAGTACGGCAATATTACGGAGTGCGAGGTAGTTACAAGCAAAGATACTGGAGTTTCGCGGGGTTTCGGGTTCGTTACATTTGACGACTATGACCCCGTCGACAAAGCTATCTTGTACAAGCCACACCTTATCAAGACCAGCCGCTCAGACGTCAAGAAAGCGCTGTCGAGAGAAGAAATGAACACAATGAAGCGGAAAACGGAGTACAGAGGGGACTACGGCGGTGGCTTTTCAAATGGTTATAGGAATGGTGGTAGTTATGGTCCACCTGGCGGCGGATACGACGGATACAGCAGGGGTTACGGTCCACAGTCTCCGGCCGGCGGCCCAATGGGTAAGTGTAGTATTCATCTCGAAATGTTTAGGCGGACCGATGGGTGGCTACCAAGGAGGATGGGGCCCCTACCCGCAGGGTGGCGGCGGTCAAGGTTGGGGCCACGGAATGGGTGATGGCTTCGGGAGCTATGGCGCTCAGCAGAGCTATGGCGGTGGTCCTATAAGGGGTGGACCGCCCGGCGGTGGATACCAACGTAATCAACCCTATGGCGGTAAGATATGATGTCATGCGACCAAGTACTTCCCTTTAGGTGGCTACGGTCGGCGCTAAAGTTGGTAAGTTCCCTTTGCCAAATGTCCACTAACCGGGTTTCTCGGCACAACATTAATGCTTCTTTCGATTTTGTAGGGCTTGATGTTGCAGGCTTAGGCGTAGCACAGTGAATACCGCCCAAGTTTAAGCCTGAATCTCCCAATTCTTAGCCAGCCGGTTGCGTTACCCATTGTACAGAGGCAGGAGTTATCTTCGCTACTCAATCTATCCCAGTGGCAGCTAGCTTCTGCGTTCATCACTTATTTTACATTAACATCCTTGACGTGCGTGAAGGTATCCAGTTAAACGCCATTTTTAATCCAGTGAGACATCTTGCCGGTTGCAAGAACATGTTGCATGTGAAGATTTTGTAAAGTGTTTAAGTTTTCAATTCTCATACGGTCGTTTTATGTCTATTATCTTTGTTGGTCCGCAATAAACGTCCAGTGATTCCGGAAATAGCTCAGGCCAGGCTTTTTGTTTTCAAGTGCTGTAGGTGCAGGTTGTACTTGGTGCGTTTGGACGCGCACAAGGGCTTATTTGGCGTACGTAACCGCAGGGTGCCAATCGCGCAGTCTTGGGTCTCAGAGTGCAATATGCTACCGTAGCTCATAGGAAATGCACACGTAACAGCTGCTGAAGCATGCAATTCGTTTCAGATGTGCGAGTTAGATCCCGGGACATCGTGGCAACAACTAGGAATCAAGGTCCGAGGTCCCAGTCATTTGCTTTGGAGGGACTCCAGCTAACGGTGTCTGGGACCTGGACTTGCATCTCCCTGGGGTCGGCAAGGGCGCCTGAACGCTGAATATCCGTGGCCGTCAATGATCCTCTGACTCGGCCTGTAAACCTTTTTCGGAATTTCTGCTTGTTTCATCATGCGTGGGTCCTGGCTTGTTGAGGGTTTCTGCTTTAAGTGGGTGCAGTAGCACTGGGCGCCCGTTGACGTTTTGTGCACTGAAATAGCGGAGTTGTGGTGATGGTATGGTGATGGTGATTGTATGGAATGACGTTTGTACATGGCAGACGTCGGCCGGAACTATGCACACTTGTGACCCTTCGGCTGACTGCTCCTCTGCCTGATGGACTTCTAAAAGGCGGCGGCATACGGAGTTCCTGACCTGCGCGGAGCTGCCGTCGCGACTGCATCCACACTGTCTCGGAGGAAGTGGACAGTGGAACTGTAAGAAGACGGTATTTTTCGGAAGTTCTTCTTGGTTAACATTCTTTTTATGTTTGCATTGTCTGGAGAGCCATGTACAATAAAGTTTGCGTCTGCTGAGTCGTTTGCTTTTTGGCGGCCGTCCTATCCAATATGCTCTATGAATGGTCTTGGCGAGATCTGCCCCGTGGGTCGAGTCGCCAGTATGCGCGTTATGGGGAGATGGTCTATGTGGTACTGAGCACGAAATCAGGGCCGGCGTTTAGTCCCACGATTTTCGTTTTCTGCGGATATGACGAGTAGGGTGCCACCGGCCCGACTGGGGTTTGGCAAGAACCGGGCGGCGTTAGGTATGTTCTTTGAAATCCGGGCTATCGCGGGTAATTATGGCTCGCTTGGCGGACGTGTCCCTCACAGGAGTCGGTAGGCCGTTTCTGACAGTCTACCCTTGGTTTGCTGAAACCCACGACGCTATATGTGCGCGCTACCCAGCAAGACCCTGTCAAATCCTTCACCTGGTGTTGGTGGTGCGCCTCACTTGAGTCGTTGCGTGGGTTTGGCAATTACTGAAGGGCGTGAAGAAAGCCGCGGCGGGGTGTGGCGTGGCATATCGGGATTGTGGCTCCGCAGAGAGCGGCCACTGAATTTCTGGCCATCGCATACTTGGTCATAGCGTTGTCCGTACCTTTTCCGTTGATCAGTACTTAAGCTGCACTTCAACTCCGTGTGCGGGAATCCAGATTACCTGGAGTGCTTGCAAGGTGCGGAGCCGGCAAACGTCTTACCTGTCCTGCTAGTGAAGGGGGTGGGAGCTAGTCTGGTCTTGATCTGCGGTGTTGGTCGTGCCAGCGTCCAGCCTGGCTGTCGTAGGTGGTGATTGTTGCTGGATTGGCTTGGGTCCCGTCCGTGGTCGTGCTGATTCGTGACGGTCTTCAGACCCCAAGGGAAGTGGCGTGAACGTTAATGCGGTTGGCGCTCCTGTCGGCGACTAGTCTGCTGCCGTGCAGCCGTTCCACTGACAAGGGCTGTGTGCTTTGCAGCCTTAATTCTTCTGGAGCACGGGGGTGGTAGTCGCAGAGGCCGTCGGGGCTGATGGACGCTAGCATCCCGACCCGTGCTGTGATTGTTGCTGGCTGAGCAGTTGACTTAGTGGCTACTTAAGTGGGAGCCGGGCGACTCGCCGGGAGCAAGACCGGTCTTCGCGAGTGCGTTGTTTTGGGAGCGTCGCACGCAGAGGCGCCCAGCTGTCGCCCTTTTGTCGTGGCCCCCTTAACGCCAAGCTCGAGACGACTGTTCAATTCCAGCAGCGGACGGACAATCTGCCAATGCCTACTGTGGTTTCGCTGGCGGGGTGCGCGCTGCCGCCGGATTTGCGACGTAGATGACAGGATGCTGCGGTCCTGAATGCCGCGTTTGGTTCCCTTACAGGATGGAAGTTGCGCTGTGCGCGCGCCCCGTGACGACGATAACTTCCGGGAGTTGCCCCCCTCCTCCCACGGCGTGCGCCGCCATGAGCCAGCACGGTTTTGGTGGTCCTGCGTGGGGTTGCCGGGAGTGGATTCGTGCTGCCATAGGCGGCGCGCCGGGTGGGGCGTGCCACCGCCGAGTGCCTCGAACATGCCCGGTGGGCGCGATGTCCCGCTCTGACACGCCTAAGTGCGCTTAGGGAGCTAAAGCACGGGGTGTAGTTACTAGCCCTGTGGGTCACTAGTGGTCGACCTGTCGTGCAGTGGCGGTTGGTGCTCCACCTACTGATCATCGGGCCCCGCTGTCTTACTCAGGAAGAGATGAAGACAGTTTTACTAAGTTTATTCATGAAAGATTAAGGGCAGAGTCGAATTGCTACGATGGCCGTCAGTGGTTGACGCCAGCACCTTTAACTGATATGAAGTACCGGTCGAGTTCCTCCTGTGAAATGCGGTTGGGGGAGTCTGAGAGCAAGTCCCGGCCGCCAGACGTCTTGGGGAAGGCGATAACATCGCGTACCGATCCGGCTCTCGTGAAGATTGCAATCAGTCGGTCGATGCCTACAACAGCTAAGGTGGCGTAATGGAAGGAAACGTACCTAGCGCTATTCCGCCATGTGGCGGCGCCCCGGATGACAGAGCT